CATTTAAGAAATCCTGATACATTAATGACATGGAAAGATTATCTTGATGTTTTGGAAGAGTATGTTGAAATGAAATTTGAAAGACAAGAGTTGAATGATTGGCTAAAGCAACTTGTTGTGGATTTGGAAAATGTAAATTTAGAACATTATGAAAATAAAAGTGATTTAATGTTATTTGAACATTTTAAAAGAATCAAACAATTTCAACATGGTGATGATAATGCTATTGATAGTAATAACAATCCTACTAAAAGCAACAATAGTCATGATTTAAACAAACGAATTCAACCAAAACTAGATATAACAAACACAAAATCCAAATCATTAGGTTTACAAAAATGTCCTCCGATTTCTGAAGATTTAATTAAGTTAAACATTAATTGGTTAAGAAATACCAGTTATTTGGATGAGACTTATTATCAGCAAATAAATAAATCTTTACGAAAAAACAATAAAAAAATGAATTTGACCAATAACGAGGCAGAAACAGGTTTATTAGGATGGATCTGTGTCACTGCACCATTGATGGTCTTTTTTTTTATAATTGATGTATTGTGGAGCATCTTGTCAAAAAACTTTTGGGAGATTGGATTCATCTTAGGATGGTTTATAACAGTCATATTTGTTGATGATAAGAATATCAATAATAGAGAAAAATCTCAAAATAATGAAGAAAATCCCAAAAGAATAATTGTCAATAGAAAAAAACGTTTGATTAGAAGAAGAGTTGTTAATAATGGAAATTAAGCATAAATATAATTATTAAAAAATTATTACTAATGTATTTTTAATGTATTTTTAAAAATGTATTATTATAAAAAACTTTTCGAATAACGAATAAATTTTAAACAAAGCAATTTTTAATTTGGTACTTTTGGCAGATGAATAAATTCAGGAAAATACATATATGATTTCATAACTGCATGCCCTTTATCCTTTAAAAGTTTCCTTGCCGATTTTGAAGTTCAATTTCCATAATCATGGTCCAGTTTGACAAAATAATTTGTGAGTGGATTAGCATATTAATATTACATGATTTAAAATCTGAATTAGTAAAATAAACCAGATCCAAAACTTAATTGACAGATCATAGCACAAGATCAGAAACCGATTATTCAAGTCTAAATATATTTATTTTTCATTGTCATAAACTGGTTAATTGATGGTCCAAATGTAGGACATCATGTAGGTTTTTTATGTGGATTCACAAATATATGGACGAGTTGATTTTGTCACAGCTATTGATTATAGCAAATAACAGACTTATGGTGTATTGACAGATCATCCCAAAAAATTAGGCGGTGGAATTGATAATTGTCATTTTGTAAAGATGATGGAACATGTAAACTTTTTTTGATGATGAAATCCCAAGAGAATTGATTAGCAAAGTCTGGTAACCAGTTACTAGAATTAAACACTTTCATTAAAAATTAGAAAAGTTAGTAATGAATATCAGCTTTAATCGTTGTTGATATTTGATGTATTATTTAATTTATATACACTTGTAGATATTTTCTCGTTTTAATTATTAATAACAAATTTTTCAATTCTAAAAGATCAAGAGAAATATTGTCTTGATTATTACTATTTAGTGTGCAATTTTTCTTTTCTTTATTGTTTTTTTAAGATCAATGTTGTTTTGATCCGAATCTTCTTCATGTATAGAAGCATTTTCATCCTCATCTTCTTTTTCTTCATTGTCATCATCACCATTCTCCTCCTTGAATTAAGATTAAATGTATTCTCAGTGAAGAATAACACTCTATGAAACAAAATCTTAAACTTGATATTAATATACAAACCATATTCACATCTTCTGCCTCTCCATTTTGTGCATTTTCTACAACCTCTCCGTTTTCACCACCATTCATTACGGTATCTTCATTTTTGTCTTGATTATTCTTTTTGGTTTTCTGTATTAAAAAATATTAGATTTAATAAATCATATCAATATATCAATATATGTTATATAAACGTTGACAAGCATTATTACCTTTTTTGTGTTTGGTTTTTTCTTTTTATTATTGTCATCATCATCAATTTTATTTTCAAGTTCATCAATCTTTTTTGTTTCAATTCTAAAATCTCGAGCAGTTGATCGTTTAATATATTGGATTAAGTTTGCCTTCTAGTTAATTAAGTATAAATATAATGTTATTTTAACGTATTAAATAATAAAATAATATCATCACCATCATTACTTTTGATTTTTTTGACAATTGTATTAAATAACGCTCAAATTGTTCTATCATGAAAATCAATTTAGGCACCATTTTAGATTCTCTTGCAATTCGAGCCTAATGTTTAAAATAGAGCAATTATATATAATATTATTATTGTTATTATAAATAAATAATATATTTATAAACCTTTTGACTTGTTGATTTGGATTTTGAACTTCCTTTTCTATTTAGACGATCGACTGCTTCATTTGTTTGCCCAAACGACATAATAAAACTATACAAATGTTCTGTTAAATGTAGACCAGTCTTTTCAACAACATCAATGAATTGTTTACTTATCTCTCCTGCTTCTGCAATTTTCTAAAAAAAATCAATTTTTTTCAAATAATTAATTTTAAGTAATAATAAAAATAAACAAATAAAATTTTGATCATTTTACATATTTAATTAAAGATTGCAAAACTTTGTATGTTTTTTGTAAACATTTAATTAATGCTTCAGATGGGGCTGATTGAAGTGAGGTTTGTTCAAGATGTATCAAAGTATTAATCAGGATGACCAATTTTTTACAAATTGAATTTTCAAATTCTTTAAGATCAATTGGTTCTTCATCATCATTATATCCTTGAAAAAATATCAATTTTAATAATTATTTAATATTTATTCAACAATTATAATATAAATTATAATTACCTTTTTTACTATTGATTAATTTCATTCTGATTAATAGCCATTCGATTTCATCATAGGTTTGCTCTATAAACTCAAGTAATATAACGCAAACAATATTACTGGTTCTTGAATTAACAATGGCAAATTTCGGCATTTGTGATTCATCTGACTCTGAATAAACATCACAACCTCCCAGAACAGATAATATATCACGTCCAAACTCTGACACTATATCAAAATCTGACATTTCTTTTTCCAGTTTGATCAACATACTAACAATTATTTTTGTCAGAGCAACATTATCAATTGCATGCTCTTTACATAACATTCTAAGCCATATGATCAATTCTTGGTGTCCTTTAGATTGGTTATCATTGGAGTTAAACGTGAAATATGATGATAATAATGTTATTATTTGGCATAATTCTGATGCTTCTTTAATTCGTGGTATTTGTTCACTTAATGATGTGATTACTAAAAACTATTTATTTAATTTTTTAAAAATTAATTAATTTTATGTTATTATTATTAATTATTTAAAAATATTTGAAGTTATATATTTATTTTTACTTCAAACTCTTTAATATATAAATCCAACCAATCATCCAGATTACTAAGTTTTTTTTCATCTGATGGGTAAGACATTTCCAAGAAATCCATCAGTTTATCCGGCCAACACTTCAATATTACTTTACATAATAACATAAAACTTTCAATTGCTGTTGCAAGTATAGATTGATTCTAAATATGGATTTATTATATGCATATACATAAGTTTTGTTAATTCTTATAAATAATGAATTAAAAATCATTAAAAATTTTTTTACTTTATTATCAATTTGTAAACAATTGATGTTTGCTTTGTTTTTTTTAATAAATTCATTCATGAACACTTGAGCCAATGATATGCAATATTTTAATGTTGATTGATCTCCTGGATCAAAATTTGTTGTAATCTTTTATTTAAAAAAAAAACTTGTTATTATTAAATTCAAGAATTTTTCAATAATGATGATAATAATTATTGTTGTAATTACCTGAGATATTTTATTATGTGCTAAAGCAGTTATATAGTTTACAAAATCTGAATTTGATCTTAAAATTGTTCCAGCATTATTAGAGATTTGGCAATCGAAAGTATTAAATGTGAGTTGAAAGAGTTCGACAATACATTTGAAACTTAGAATAGAATATTCCGTGACTGAGGCTACAGTTTTTCGACCTAATAATTGATTAGCTTATTAATTCATCAATCGACCGGTCAACAATAATTTATTTCAAATATATATACCTCTAGCATTTACAGATTTTTCTTTTAGGATCATAAAAAGTTCCAAATATTTATTAAATAATTTTAATATCAAATTTGAAGTATCATTATTTTTTTCACGTGAAAAAAAAATATATTCAATTGATGCCTGAAAATATATAAGAAATAAAATCAATCTTAATATAATTATTGAAACAAGATAATGCATTCAATAGTAATATTATTTGGTCATAAAGATACTAATTATTAAGTTCTTTGTTATATTATTACCTCATAACATCCAAGTAATAAAGAAGCACACATGTTATTTTGGATGCCCACATTAGTTACCATTTTATAATCAGCATCCTCGTTAATTCTAAATTCAATCATTTCTGAATAAGCAAATTTTTCGGCCAATAAATCCAACTTATTTACACATTCTGAAAGTTGCGATTCATCAAATTCTGATAGTTCTAAATTTATTGTAATTATTATTTAATTAAATTAAAGTAAATTAAAATAAATATTTCAAAAGTCACTAACCATCTTGTCCAGAATTTTGTTTTTTTTTATAACTAGTTATTGATTTGCTTAAGCAAGAAAATAAACGTGGTAAAGGCTCAACAATGCTTGGTGTACCATTATTGGTTTCAATACAAGTTTCTAAATTAACTGTAAAATGAACATCCGTTTGCATTTCCAAAAATCGTTGAAACTATATAAAATAAATTATAAATATTAATCATTATGTATAGTATTGTATGAAAATAGGAAGTTCATGTTAAAATATATACTTGAAAATATAATATATCAAATATGACGGGATTAAGATCTTGAATATCATCCATCAATTTACTCAAGCCTTCATATAAAGAAAGACGAATTTGAGACTGTTGACTGTAGCATTTACGTAATACACCTAATACATGGATATTTTAAAATAAGTATAAGAAATCAATCAATCAAATTATTTAAACGATTAAATAACCTACCCATTATTTCTAAAATCAGCGAGTTAGTTGAATTTGAAGAGGAGTTTGAAGAGGATTGTGAAATTGCCAAAACGTTGTCATCATTATCATTATTATAATTATTGCCATTTGAAAAAATTTTCAATAATCTTAAATATCCTGTCAAGGCAACTTTTCTGGCCTCTATATCTCTATTATAAGAACATCATTATTACAAATATCAAAACATTATTATATAAAGTCAGAAAAAAAAAATTTAAACAGGTACGGTCTAATTAATTAATTACTTTGTAAATAAACATTTTCTCAAAACCAACATAAGTCCATCACGAATTGAAATGTTTCTATAAATTATTGGCTGTAATGCACGTAAAAGATGATCTGCAATATAAGATGGAAGAAGTGAAAAGTGATCAAGAGTTCCTTTAATCTATATATAATAAAAAATATATTAAAAAATCTTATTTTTAAACAATAACAATTAATTAAGTATTTTTTTCTACTGACTCTTTGTATATAATCATTTAAAGAATCAGGTTTTTCTTTTACAATTATTTCTAATAAAGTCAAAAAATGACCAACACTAGGTGACCTTGATACAACACGAGACTGTATTTGATCCAAAATTTCAACACGAACCATCTCATGCATCTATAATGAAATATATAT